GAGGGCAGAGCATTACATTTTAGCAAGCGGCAAAATCTGGCCACAACCCCAGCAAAAGTCAAGAGCTTAACTCTTGCGAAGAAATGTTCAAAGCGACAGCTCATGGGTTGGATATTTTAAAAACATACTAATTGGATTCAGACAGCAAATTCTCAACATTTCCAGCCAGGCACAATTGAGAAAAGGTACTTCCCCGTGAGAAAAAAACATTTTAAACCGACAAACCCATGCGTTGACCCCGAGACTTGCGGAAATAAAGCCCACCTGGAAACCAATTCACAACACACTTCTCTGCACTCGGGAAGAACCTTAACCGACTGGCCTGCCGGCTGCTAACAACACATACAAACAAGGTGGTGGCCCGATTTGCCGGAACTTGTCTTGTTTGAACGGGTAGGTTGATTTAAGAGTGGTGCCCGGGTTGAAGTGTCAGAAGAGGTTGAACGGGAAGACAGCGGTGCACGTAATGAGCCATAACATAATACAGTACTTCTATACAGCAGAGCGCACTGTAATGTTTGGCAGCATAGTAAAAAAATGTAAGACTACTACTGCTAAAAATGTTTACATTCGTGATTTTAAGGTCAACTTAGGCAACAATACTTTGCCACACACAAGCAGAACGAGTTTACCAAGAGCAACGTGTAAAATCACTGCACTCATTCTTCCTGCATTTTCTTTAACGCTCGTACCAAATGCGACTGTAAACCTTTAAATAGTTCAGTTTGATATCACAAGAACGCTTAATTGTGAAGCCGTATCACACTTCCTCACAGTGTTGTTTACTGGAATTACAAACCCACAACTTCTGGAGTTGCTTGTGAACAACGCCTGAAAAGAAGAATCACTTGCTTAATACCCATGTAGGTAATCTGGGCATACTAGTGTGCATGTTACAGGCCTGTGTAACATGCACACTAAAAGAGGCTACACATCTCAACGTGTGCTATGTGAGAGACATGACATCAAGTTGGGCGACAATAGGTGAATTTGATCATCCAGTTGGACCAAAGCTATTCGAATGAGCTAATGCACCTCAGCCATTCAACAACTATGGCATAATGTGCTTGGAGCTCACAGTAAAACTTGGCGTTGTACAGTGCTCAAAGTAGCTGAAGGCAAACAACCGAGGCCCCATACCTATTATTCAATCGGCAACACAAAACAACATAACGCCTTGAGGGTAAATTGCAAACTAAGACACACACATGCACAGTATAATACACACGTAACACGTATATGGCAGTCTTGAGGGATTCTGAAACTTTTGCTGATATGCCAAAAAGGACTCGCGAAAGAACACATCCAGCACGTTAACAACAACATAAGACGATGCGGCAGGTATAAGGTAGAATAAAAGCCTATTACAAAGAGGCTTATGAACATTCTTACTCCATTGCAGATCCCACTCAAGTGAGCAGAGCCACGTTCTCTCTGAGGAATCACATCAATAACCTGAAATCCCTCCAGGATCTATCTCCTCGGCACAACTGATAATTTTTTGGAGACGGGCAAATGGCTTGCTCTAAGGCGATGTGGTGAATAAGCCCTCAGAGCTGGGCTTGTTTGTTCCATTGTTATCACTCTTTCCAAAACAGGAAACACATTTGTTCCTCATTAAAGTCGCTGACAAGGGTTAATAAGGTGGCAATCAATTTCAAAGTTTTTTTTTATTTTAATGATGTCCTCTATTTTACCACATTTTACCACAAGTCCTTTATTCAGCCAGGTAGGAACCAAATTAGATTGTATTCTGATGAGCGCCCTTCAGTAAACCAAGTGATGGATCATTCAAACGACATTTTTTAATCGACAACTCACTAACAATGCCTTCAAAAGCCAACCTTCAACCAGGAGTACCGAGTTAATTAAGGAAACTTTTCACACGATGGCATTCATCACGGTGGATTTCCTGGAACGTGTTTTACTGTACGGTAAACCTATTACAAAATGTAGGCAGGCACCAGTAAAGCCATGTTACTAATTTTCCTGCGTGTAATCATCTTACCGTTGTGCAGGATGCAGGGCTTGATAAGGCTTAATGCTTACTTTCATTTTTAAAAAGTCAAGACGTATCCCCCCCCCCCCCAAAAAAAAAGAATGGTAAAAAGACCATGTCAGCAATTAATTGCGGTTAATGAGGGTCAAGTGGAGACATATCGTGCCAAAAGCCACACAAGCACAGTGCTAAAATTTCAGAGGTTAAATCAACATAATACATGGTCGTTCAAAGAAAAGGAAATGTAAGTGCATTTCCTTTTGACACACGAAACACGGGATTGTTACGTTGTTTTAAAAAAACTTTATATAATCAGTAAACAGATTATAACTTTAAAAAAAAAATCACCTTTCCAATTGTAGAGTGCAGCACTTTTCTTTCCCGAGGTAAAATCATGAGTTGCACGAACGTAACTTTTAAAATACCAAATACTGCACAGGTTCATTGCTACACTCATAAAACCTTTATTAAACTGTTTACCCATTAGAAAAACAACCTAAGGGCCGTTTGACCTCGACTTTGCACAATGCTGAGATTGGCTTATGGTGGAATGAGACCAATGCCTATATAACAATATATGTACATGATGTAACTGGAATTTTCTATGCGTTCGAATATCTCTGTTCGTGTCACATATCAACCTCCACACAATCGGATTTTTGATGTTGTCCAGTACTTACATCCGCCAAAGAAAACCACCAATGTAGTACCCACTCTTTTACAGGATGGAGTGGGTGGTAATGTAAATACAAATTGTTATGGTGGTGGTGGCGATTCTAAGGCGGTACACTGTACTCTGAACTCATCGACATGAATTTAATCCTGGCCGTGACTAAGTGGGGGGGGGGGGGGGGTAAAATTTCAACCGGTCCTTAGACCTACCGCCTTCAAAACAACCACACAGAGAAAGGTGCACAGTGGAATATCGTCAACAAACCCCCTATAAATTTACACGGTGGATTGACAAGGGATCGTACATTCCATGGGGGGGGGGGGGGGCAACATGCCCTCTTTTGTGCTCCTTAAAATGTGGAGGCAGCTCTGTCGGATACCTCAAGTTCAAGCAGCCAAGACCTGACCTTGAAGGTGTGTTCTTACTCTACTTCTTACGGTGCCCTACACCGAGAGGTATCGGGTTTTAAACGTTGTCCCCATGCCAGCAATAGCAGCAAGTCTCACGCAATTGTCGTCCCTTCCATATTTCCATCTTGCAGTGCTGCATAGTCGAGGTCAAACAGCCCTTGGATTTCCCGATTTCCTTGTGAGGAGAAGTGGCCCACTGACAAGTCGTCTCTGACTAACAAAGGTTTTAGAAGCGATGTAACATTCTGTGCAGGATTCGTTCATATTTCACGTTAGGTTCATGAAACCCAACACTCGGCAAATTAAAACCTCGGGAAAACCACAACACTGTAATTGTACTTTTAGAACGGTGACTTTTTAAAAATGGTACAATTACTTTACAACAGAAACAATGTCGTTACATGTGTAACAATCATGTTAATACTGTAGCTATGATTAGTGTTGTATTGGTTATAATAAATTACATTGCAGTAGTTATGATTTAAGCTGTAATACATGTTGTGTAATACACTAGTGATAATAGTATAGGGTTAAAAGTAATAGTGTAATGTAGTCATAACAGTAATACTGCAGTTGTTAGGATAGCTATACTGTATTGTTATAGAAAATATTTAGAATTATAATACATCAAGTGCCCTGTAGATACGACATTAACAATATAGTGGTTGTCCTGGATATACCGTAGTGATTATACTGCAGTTCTTTGAACAGTAAATGTAATCATAACACAGAGCTCTAAAACAGGTACATTTGCAGTGCTTGTAACAGCCATACTGGGACTATCCTAAACGTGCCTATAACTATAATAGGAGCATCCTACTGCAGCTATAACAGTAGTACCATATAGCAGTATTACTCATCTTCTTTGGTTCTTTCGGTAAAGTCACGCAGAATGAGAATAAAATAATAAATTGATTAATTACACTGCAGTTAGTATAACACGCACTTTGGCTATCATACCGATATCAAAGTCGTTACAATAGTAACAACTACTGTAACTACAACACCTCAGCGGATATAAGTTATAGTGGAATGGCGAATCACGGTGCAGTACGGAACACTGCCGCAGTTACAATAGTAACTATAATACCGTATAACAATGTACTGTACAGTAGTTATAACATAAGTATTGTATAGATGTAACATTGTTTGTATCGTGAGGAACTGCAGTGCTCTTAACGTCCACACCGCGCTCGTTATAAAGCAATTTTAACAGCAGTCATTGCGGAGAGCGACAACACGGTACAGTACGAACACTTTATTGGCCATGCAGTAGTGCAGTTATTCTAACATTAACCATAACTAGTCGTATTATATAGTTTACAGGATATAAATGCGATGTTATTATTCGCAAATGTCTTAATTTTTTTGATACTTGTTCACCACCGCCAATGGGTCATCATCATCACCACCCAAGCATTTTCTGTACAACTTCTAATTATTGTAAGGCTCGAAATACCCAAGCAAGTGACACTGTCGCGTTCACAACAATCACAACAGCTTGCGGTAACGACAACGCAGCTGTGACACTTAACGATAATAACGATATCAAAGTTACTCTAAGGACACACAGTAAGCGCCCCCCATCCCACACCTGTAGTTGTTAACAGCAGCGCCGTTCGTGGCTGATTATAAGAGTCGCAACGCTGCAGTGCGCGCGCACAACACCCAACGCAGCTAACGACACCGGTGACTGTAACCACTGTAACAACACTTAGGTTCAACTTCTTTCGCGCAAGTGCGTACGTAGCCAACCGTGGTAATCGGGAGGACGCCGGCAACAACACGAACAGCAGCAGTAGCACAGCAGCGGTGGCACCAGCAAAGCCGCTCGCTGCGCGACACAATCGCAATGTGCGCGTACAGCGGACAAATCCGAAAAGCTCTGAAGCGCTTTGTCGCCCATGACGGTACGCACCTTGTACACGTCCCCGTAGGTGCCGCTGCCAACTCTCTGAATGAGCTCGAAGTCATCGTGCGGATTCTTCTTCGATATTTCCAAACTCCCAGACACCTTCGACGTCATTTTTTTTTACTTTACAGATCTTTTCTTTTTCGCTCACACACAACAACACGAACGCTTCGTAGTCCCGTGCGTCGTTGTTTGTTATTTGCTCGCTGCCTCTTGTTCGATAGCTTAACGCGCGGGAGGGGAGCGAGAAAATAAAAAAAGACGCCGCCGCACGTCCCCAGCCGAGCGTCGAGCGCCACCAACTTTGTTAAAGTGTTCCTGACGTCACTTCCGTCCCCCGCGGGGGGGGGGCAACGGGGCGTGGTCACCCAGCGTCACGTGTTATGCGGTCATTTGCATATTCCGGGTTTATTTATTTCGCGCGGCTGGGGTGGTGGAATCTTGATGAGCTGTGAAGCTCTTTACATAATGGGGGGGGAGGGGGTTAGATCACGTGACTATATAAATATATAAATGTGCCGTTAAACCCGCCACCACCCGACACAGCCAATTAGTTTGGGGTTTCGATTTGAAGCTTTCGTGACTGCAAGGATTCATCTTCTTTGGTTCTTTCGGTAAAGTCACCACGTAGAATGAGAATAAGATAATAAAATAACACGATAAAATTCTCACGACGTTTCGGCCACAACGCAAGCGGCCGTCTTCAGGTACAGAACTGTCTGTACCTTTACACCTGAAGACGGCCGCTTGCGTTGTGGCCGAAACGTCGTGAGAATTTTATTGTGTTATTTTATTATTTTATTCTCATTCTACGTGGTGACTTTACCCAATAGAACCAAAGAAGATAGTTTGGGGTTGTCACGTCGACAGAACGCGCCAACAAGTCGCTACTAGCGCGCAGGGTGCGTTTGTAGCCCCGCGACGTCGTCAACATTTGTACTTACGGGTTCTCTTTTATGGCTAAGCCTACCTACTGCCTGTCAAACTGTGATGCTCTTTCCTCACAGATGTGTGCAGGACGTTACAACAAAGAGCGATACAAAACAACGGAGCACCGTGGCAGTCAGACTGATGCTCCTGTTGTTGTGGAGTGGCGACTCATGCATAGCCAGCTGTGGCTCTAGGCCTAGGGTTTGGTGTTACGTGTTATTTGTGTAGTTTATTGTTAAAAATTCGGTCACAGTCCCTGTGATCGCTGTTACATTGCATTTATGGCTTTTATTTTGGTGATTTCGAAAACGATTTTTTTGGTTTGGACATGTTTGTTTTGTTGTAGTACGGAGTTAGACTGATGGCCTTAATCTAAGTTGTCTTGTGGTTGTTGTTGTTGTTGTTTGACTTGCATCCCACTGGAATTATTTGCACACAGCGTTGGTGTACGGTGCTATTTCAGAATATTTTGATTTTTTTCCTGGATTTTCTGTTTGCACAGTCACATAGTCACTTTAAGATGTTTTCTTGTTCATGTTTTTAGTTTGTTGTGGTTGCACCCGATTCAAGAGCCGAATGGCTCACAGGGCTATACCAAAATAAATGAAACTGAAACTGCACTCTGATGTTGTAGGATAAAACATTTATTAAAAGTCTACTTAATTAAGTAGAACGTGTTTTCTCTATTTAAAGTTGCGCATTTTGATGTGACGTCACATTTCTCACCCCCCCCCCCCCCCCTCGTCACACATCGTCACAAATGTCTGACCCCCCCCCTAGCTGCGTGACGTCATTTATGGACGGCCCCTTAACAATTAACAAATATATGCAACAGGACAAATAACGCTAAAACTCAACATCCGTCAATAACACTGTGGCCTTCAAATGGAAAAAATATAATAGGCGACGTTTCGGGCAATGGACCTTCTCCATAGCACATACATTAATACTTTACATATATCATGCAAGTAAAGAATTCATAAATAATGGCCTTCATCTTTGGCTATTCATAGGGGCCCTTACACGAAACGTTGCCTACGTGCTGATGATTTTGTCGCTGTTTGTGCAGCGGCGTCGTCACCACTACGAAATAAATAATAATAATGTCAACGTCATTGAGTGAACGTGTCAGGTTAAAGTACAAAAAAACGTTATTTTGTATAACCATGCGAGAATTCAAACGAAGAGGATGAGGTCTCAATTAGAATCATCACCTGGGTCTCCGAAACGTCAAAACAAATCGCATGAAAAACTCCCGACGGCCCCACAAGCAAGCGAACAGAAAGCAGCAGCAAAAATAACCACGTGACAAAATAAATATAAAACAGTGGATGCACAGAACAATAAACATGTTAAATAAAAAAAACCATTCAGAGTCAAATTAAGTTACAAACCCATTAACAAGTTAGATTGAGGGTGACTATTGGACTACAATAGTATGTAAACAGACGAGGACATATGCCGAATGCTAACTGCAAGTCATAAAGAACAGACAGCTTAGCAATGCATTGTGATGTAAAAGGAAGCGTAACAAAGGACAAGTTTTAAGGCAATGGAATTGCGGGTGTTTGTCAATCCACTGCTAGATGAAGGCCTCTTCCACGCCATGCGGGTTAGTTTGACCAAAGCTCTGAAATAGATGTAAACTTCACGTCGAAAGGTGCCATAGTAACGTGTCCTGCCCAAGGCCACTTACTTATCTCAACGATCAATATAATGAATCTAACCTGCGCATGTTCTCTACAAAATTAAATTGCCACGTAAATAATTCAACCTAATGTGGTCAGGTTGATTGATGTTCCAGCACTTACTGATTCACTGCAGTCACTTCGCTCACCTGCGGTCAGTCCCCCCCCTCCCCCCCGTATCACTCTTCTATAGCTACTACAGTGGTTACCGTTCGCGTGAGTTTCACTCACCGATTCCTCCACCCATGCTGAGGACTACCAGACTGACTATTTGTCTCATCCACACTCTGTTCAACTACCACACTGCAGGCCACAACAACAACACACTCACCCACTCACTCATTCACTCACGTACCCACTCACCCACTCACTCACCACACTGCAGGTCACAACAACAACACACTCACCCACTCACTTATTCACTCACGTACCCACTCACCCAATCACTCACCACACTGCAGGTCACAACAAAAACACACTCACCCACTCATTCACTCACGTACCCACTCACCCAATCACTCACCACACTGCAGGTCACAACAACAACACACTCACCCACTCACTCATTCACTCACGTACCCACTCACCCACTCACTCACCACACTGCAGGCCACAACAACAACACACTCACCCACTCACTCACTCATTCACTCACGTACCCACTCACTCACCACACTGCAGGTCACAACAACAACACACTCACTCACTCATTCACTCACGTACCCACTCACCCACTCACTCACCACACTGCAGGTCACAACAACAACACACTCACCCACTCAATCACTCATTCACTCACGTACCCACTCACCCACTCACTCACCACACTGCAGGTCACAACAACAACACACTCACCCACTCATTCACTCACGTACCCACTCACTCATTCACTCACGTACCCACTCACCCACTCAATCACCACACTGCAGGTCACAACAACAACACACTCATTCGCTCACGTACCCACTCACTCACCACACTGCAGGTCACAACAACAACACACTCACTCATTCACTCACGTACCCACTCACCCACTCACCACACTGCAGGTCACAACAACAACACACTCACCCACTCACTCATTCACTCACGTACCCACTCACTCACTCACCACACTGCAGGCCACAACAACAACACACTCACCCACTCATTCACTCACGTACCCACTCACTCACTCATTCACTCACGTACCCACTCACCCACTCACTCACCACACTGCAAGCCACAACAACAACACACTCACCCACTCACTCATTCACTCACGTACCCACTCACCCACTCACTCACTCACCACACTGCAGGTCACAACAACAACACACTCACCCACTCATTCACTCACGTACCCACTCACTCACTCATTCACTCACGTACCCACTCACCCACTCACTCACCACACTGCAGGTCACAACAACAACACACTCACTCACTCATTCACTCACGTACCCACTCACCCACTCACTCACTCACCACACTGCAGGTCACAACAACAACACACCCACTCATTCACTCACGTACACACTCACTCACTCATTCACTCACGTACCCACTCACCCACTCACTCACCATACTGCAGGTCACAACAACAACACACTCACCCACTCATTCACTCACGTACCCACTCACCCACTCACCACACTGCAGGTCACAACAAAAACACACACTCACCCACTCATTCACTCACGTACCCACTCACTCACTCATTCACTCACGTACCCACTCACCCACTCACTCACCACACTGCAAGCCACAACAACAACACACTCACCCACTCACTCATTCACTCACGTACCCACTCACCCACTCACTCACCACACTGCAGGTCACAACAACAACACACTCATTCACTCATTCACTCACGTACCCACCCACTCATTCACTCACGTACCCACTCACCCACTCACTCACCACACTGCAGGTCACAACAACAACACACTCACTCATTCACTCACGTACCCACTCACCCAATCACTCACCACACTGCAGGTCACAACAACATCACACTCACTCACCCACTCATTCACTCACGTACCCACTCACTCACCACACTGCAGGCCACAACAACAACAAAAATGCTCGACGTTGCCTGTTCCCCAGCTCTTTCAATCTTGCTCAATTCAGTAAAACGTGCTGACTCTATCACTTGCAACGTTGACGGCGCCGTTTGTTGTCCAGCAACTGCGTTTAAACAATATACATTGTACATTCCCAGACAAATGCATGCCGACAAGCAATTCAGAATCCCTGCATGTGTGTTATCGTTGATAGAACTTCAAACTCGTTGGTCAGTTCGAGACATCCACTTTAACAGATGTTGGGCTATATTCTTAGTTTTTTCGGTAAAGTCACGTTGAAGAGAAACAACAAAATAACAAAATATATATAAAACAATAAAAATCAAAATTTAGATGTTGGGCTGTTAATTCCCTATTTAGTTGTATGGCTCTAATACGGTATTCATTGAATTTGCATTCCCGTATTAATCCAATGCTGGATGAAGGATCCCCCACGCCAGTCATGGGAGTTGTTTTAGCATACTTCACCAGACTGGTCATGGTGGCTTAATGAAGGCCAAGTGGGGAGCGGGGGGGGGGGTTATGATATCACTCACCACTGATGCTCACCATAGCCGGGAATGGAACTCGCTGAATTCGGATCGCATTGCACCAACCCATAGGGTATGAGGAATCAATTTCCAAGAGTATAATAACAAGGCTTTGCTATCCT